AACGATTTTGGTGTCCTGTAAATCTACACTGACTGAACAAACAGTCCAGGAAAAACCACCTAAAGACCTGCAGAAGGGTCATTTTCTCACCTGGTCCTGGTAAACTCCACAATGGGGAACTGTGGAACGATTTTGGTGTCCTGTAAATCTACACTGACTGAACAAACAGTCCAGGAAAAACCACCTTAAGACCTGCAGAAGGGTCATTTTCTCACCTGGTCCTGGTAAACTCCACAATGGGGAACTGTGGAAAATGGACAGAGCCTGCAATGCTGTGCAGCTTCTTTCCTGGCGCTGATAGGGTAGTGACAGTTTCTGGTTTAGCCTAGACCTCTACAACTCCAAGGAGCAAAAGATTTACATACAACAGCCAAACAATCCTATTAGGCTTCAAGTCCCAAGAGAATGGCCAGGAAGTCAACAGAGCTAGAGAATGTGGTTCAGTGAATAAAACAAAGGAGAACTGGAGAAAGCTCCCAGACACCTCTATACATATAATAGTTCTGAAATTGAAAATGGAGAAAAGACTCTTCTAATATTCCACAGATTAACAGATTCAAATCACCATTTCCCACAGTAATTATAATTGGTGGCATCCACTGTTCTCTACAGAGATTTAAGTACTCCAAGCCCCAAAAGTTAAAAAAAAAAAAAAAAAATTATCCATTGCCATCTATCAGCACCGCACTCTCCCGAGTGAGCCACGGGCCGGCCCATCCATTGCCATCTATTTACTGATATTCTTTAACTTGGATTACAAAACCTGAGATTCAACAATAGATCTATACATCAATTTCCTTATGAGTAACGTTAAAGGAATACCACTTACAGGATTATTGAATTTTAGATGATTTGTAATTTGGCACAAAGAAGACTCTTAAGAAGGGAATGTTGAAACCTAAAGCTCTGCAGTATAATGTTGGACTTTGCAAGTATGCCAATTGTATTCCATAAAACATGTACAGTGAAAAAAATAAATCAAAATGAAATAATAAAAACAAGTACGCCAAGACCACAAGATCTATATCATTACCCTACTGAAAAATAAGTCTACCATGTTAAAACAATGGATCCTGATTTTCAGTTACTCAAAGTTTTTAAAGATCCCCAACTTCTATTCAACAAGTAGTATAGCTTATGGAATAGTGTCTGAAGAAATCAACCTAAGTTTCACTCTTCCAAGAGCAACAGCTAAAAATTTATGTACTGCTCCTCTACATCTTATCTGCAAAAGCTTTTTCTAGAGGCATCACTGATTACCAGCCCCACATTCCAACAAAAAGGAACAAGTACAGTGAAACCCAGTACAATAAATCCCTACTAAATTTCAACTGTCTCAAAATTTCAGTGTTCTATAATTACTGCATAAAGAAAAGCTACCTTTAAATGACAAATGAATAAAAAGTTAATTCTTAACAAAAATAATCTAATTTACCTAGTTTGCAATTTTTTTGCAAGTAAACTATGGGGCTCTCAGACTTTTAAAAGAAGTTGTATGCGAAAGCATTCAAACATTTACTCTTCCCTAGAGCCAGCAAAGTTTAATGGTGTTGTAAATGGTTTCTGCCTATAAATTTGGTTGGTTCAAATTAAATATTACTTGACTGACTCATGGAGGGAGTGACCGGTCTGACTTTTGCTGTTGAGTCAGAAAATACCCGGTTCAGCAGTTCTAAACTATTTTTCATCTGTAGAGGTGTTCTAAAATGCCAACCTTTTCCAGCTACTAAATATAACAAACAGTTGCTTTAGTAGAAAAGTCTTAGTGGAAATACTACTTTGAATCTGTTGTTCAATTTATAATTAACAAAGTGCTTTCACGTGTATTTTCTCAATGATCTTCACAATCTCCTGGTTTAAGCATCCTACACATCTCAACAGAAACTTTCACAAAATGACAATTTCTAGTTGAATCTTGGCCCCCAAAAATAGACTGTTCCCCTTTCCCCCAGAATAAAAAAAGCATAAAACGCTGCTGCATTTCTTTAATCAGACTTCCCCTCCCCAGACATATCCCAGGTGCCTCATAAATACTCTGTCTCAAAGCACACACCCTGGGGCCCCAAGAGAGTTTCAAGGCAAAATCTCCTCCCACATAAAAGTCTAGCTTAGGCCCCAAAGAGCCTCAAGTCAGCATCTCCTAAATGATCCCCTCGCCTCCAACCACTCAGTCTTCTGCATTAACTTCAACAGCTGTCATCCGTAGAAGCTGCTAGGTCACTGTGGAGATGAGCAACCTCAAAGTGAGAAAACCTACTGAGAGGGTAGAATGGTATAGTGAAAAAATCAAGAGCGTTAAGTCAGACAACCTGTATTTTTACTATCTGTGTGACCTGAGACAAGTTACTTAACCTTCTTAGTCTCTGTATCTCTTCATCTCATCCCTTTGAGTCCATGGGGACTCATCACTGTTTCCCTAGAGCCTGGCAAATAAAAGTGACTCAAAATGACCCAAATGAATGCAAAGGAGGATACCTACTACCTTTATTATAGCTGTGAGAATTAAATGAGGATTAAAAAAAAACACCTGTGGCATAGTAGGCACTTAACACTAATTAATCTCTTCCCCTTCTGAATGTACCAGTACTATTTACTATTTCTGAAAGCAGAGCATGCTAATGATTGATAAAAGTAACACTAACAAAAATACAATTTCTGACTTTCTAATTACACATCAATGATTTTGCCTGTAATTCTATTAGGTCCACTATCAAAAGGCCCACCCTACTCTGGTTATCATATTGAAAGACCCTCAACTTCTAACAGACATCATTATCTCCTAAGATTATGTCACTAAGGTGTAAAATCCCTATCAAAGTACTCTTCAAGAATCCCTACCTAGTTCTACAACACACAAATGGGAAAAGTCTATGACAATCATTGGTCCATTCAATATGAAACTAAAAATGTCAGGATCAGAGTAGTAGCAAACAACTCCTCACCATCTTCACCAATACAATGGTATTCCAGCAAGTGATCCTAAGGCTCCCATAACGTGTCATTCTGTATCCTTAATTTTCTCTTGCACACTTAACAATGCATTACTTCACTCACTTCCTGTCTGAAACTACTCTGTAATACAGAGCATTGCAGCAAATAAGTACCATATTCTAATACAGCAGTGGCTATAATCTGGAGTTTCCAAATAAGCATTTGCTGAATGCCTACAGTGACACTAGAACTGCTAGTCACTTTACATGGTTTCCATTGACAAATTAATTCCAGGAAATAATAAATTAGCCTATGGTTATTCTTTACCATAAATATGTTACAATACTATTTCTTAGGAGCTTTTTTCCAGAAGGGTAGAAAAAACAACCTAAAAGATATTACTTCAACTCACCTAACAATAAAAGACCTTTCACCTGAAAAACTAGTAGCACTTTACAAAAAAGTTTATGCTTCTGAATACTCTGCAGGCAAGAGGGTAGGATCTTGGGCAACAGATAAGCTTGTTTTAATTAGCTCTCAGAGCCTCCAGACAAAGATGGGATGGCAACCCTGTCCTTGACAAACTGAGAAATTTATGTCGATGTCATGAAACCTGGGGGAAAACTTTATAGAAAAAAAAACTTTCTAAAAATAATAATAATAATAGTAATAATAATAATAATCCCAGAGCCAAAAAATCATAGTGCCACTGAAATACTCTTATACTCTTTCTTCATACTTGAACCCAAGGATCCAGGGACCAGATGCTCCTGGCAAGAACTCTCTAACCCAGACACCAGAGTTCACTATCGCCACACACAAAGATCAAGGGGAAGGGCCTCCAGGATGCGCGCTCACACAGCGGACAAACGCAGGCACACCCTTCCACACACACACTCATCTGCCACTCACCACCTCCCCCGCCCCACTCCCTGCCATACACTCAACACTCCCCTCCCCCATTTACTCACACTCTACCCTCACACGCATGCTCTCCCCACTCATTCCCACACGCTCCCCTCATACTCACTCTGCCCTACACTCGCCCCCCCACACATCCGCAGAGACTATACACCTCCCACACGCACTCCCTCCACACTCCCACTCTCCCCCATTCACTCTCTACGCTCCGTCCACACTCACACACACGCACTTTCCCCACACCCTCCACTGATACTGTCCCCCCACTCTGTCCCCCCGTCCCGTCCTCTCTCCTCACCCCCCCCATGGACACTCGGCCCTCTCCCCACTCGCACTCCTTTCACAAACTCACACTCTCCTCCTTTCTCAAACTCACGCTCTCACGCACGCACATGCCCCCCACGCGCGCACACACACTCGACATTCTTCCACACACTCACAATCCTTCCCCCTTCCACACACACGATCCCCCAGGTTCACCCACCCTCGCTCCCCCCGCTCCCGGCCCGGCCCTCCTTCCGGGGACGTGTCTCGGGCCTGCACTAATGGCTGCGGCGCCTCCCGCCCTCCCCTTCCCCGAGGCCCCGGGCGCCGGCGCGGGGGCCGCCCGGGAGGGGCGCACTCACGCTGGCGAGCTGGGGACTGGGCATTGAAGTCCGGCGGCGGCGGGAGCGAGGAGGCGCCTCTCTCCTCAGTCACCTCGGCGGCGGCGGC